CGCCGGACCAGTTCAGCCGCGGATCGCCGTGCCAGGTCCAAGTAGAACCCGTCCTGGGTGACACGATACATACACACGGCATGGTCGCCGATGCCAGCATCACAACAGCACTGGCTGATATTGTTCCATAACCCGCGCCCTCTCGTTTCCGGCGCGCCCAAGGCCACAAGCCCATCATCCAAGCCACGCTCCCAGTTCATCCACGCTGGATCTGCGGTAATCTCCCCAAGCAGGTAAAACAGCCGCGCGGTGCCTGCCGGACCATGACACACCCCCAGATAAAATCTGTCAGGATCACCATCGTCTAGAATGTGAGGAACCAGGTGACCACCACCCTCAATATTTTTTGCCATCGCCTGCACGTGTCCGGCACCCGCCAGCGCTGCATCCAGATATTTCTGCTCCTGTGTGTGCTCAAACAGGCGCGCAAGAAAATAAGCAACGCCAGCAGTACCATGGGCAAAGTTCGGGGCGTCAAAAGGCCAGGGGATATCTTCCATCAGCTGCCAGCGAAGGCCGCCTTGTGCCGGTTCTGCAACTTCCAGCAAACGGCTGCCTGCTGACGTCGCCCAGTTCAAAGCCTGCTCATGAACACCCTCTTCATGTGCATAAAGCCATGCCATCGCCGCGCCGGCGGCGCCTTCTGCGACATCGTACAATTCTCTCTGTCCAGAAAAGCCCGTGAGCTTGGCATAAGGCATTTCCTGTACCCACCCCAACCCAGCACCAACCTGCACCGCCTGATCTCGCTGTTTCTGCGCGCAATACTGCGCACTGTCTGTAAAAACCGGGTCTGCAGTTGCTTGTGCCAGCTCATTCATGACAAACAGATAGCCGCCCCAACCGCCCATCAGCGCACAGGGCAATTCGTCCAACTGCTTAAGTTGGTGAACGATCTCACGTCCAGCAGCGGTTGCTGTCTGCAGAAAACGCTTTTCATGTGTGGCGGCGTACAACTCCAGATAAAACAGCGCAATGCCGGCAGAACCCGAATACAGGTTGTGGAAACGTTTATTCGGCACTTCTTCCGCCAGAGACCACAGCAGCCCATGCTCTGTTTCACTCTGATGGCGGGCTATCCAGCGTTCAGCGCTGAGCGCCACATCCAGATAGTCGTCTGCCGACTTAAGGTTAATCTCCACCGCCCTCTCCCCGGAGAAGTTCTTTCAATTTGTCGTCAATAACTCAGCCTTTGCATATTCGGTTATGGCTTTATAGTCTGCTTTTCCATTGCTGGCGCGACCAAGGCTGGCTTTGACCAGCACACGTTTTGGTGTTTTGTAACCGGCCAGATGCTTGCGTGCATGGGCCTGTATTGCTGCTTCATCAAGTACCAAGTCGCCATCGGGCTGTACCACCGCTGTAACCATCTGGCCCCACTTGTCATCCGGTAAACCCACAACCAGGGCATCAAGCACACCTGGATAGGTTTTCAACACTTCCTCCACCTCTTCCGGATAAACCTTTTCTCCCGCTGTGTTGATACAGACGCTGCCGCGCCCCATGAGAATCAGCGTGCCATCTGCGGCGACCTTGCAGAAATCACCAGGGATGGAGTAACGCACACCATTTATTTCAGGAAAGGTTTTTGCCGTTTTCTCCTCATCTTTATAGTAACCCAGAGGAATCGGACCAGACTTGGCAACAAAACCCGCTTCGTCACTGCCGGGTAAAACTTCACGGAAATCTTCGGTGAAGACTTTGCAGCTTTCACCCAGCTCAAAACGTGCAACCTCCATGGTGCCTTCCGCCGTTGTAATGGAACGGCCAAAACCAACTGCTTCAGATGCGCCAAAGGAGTCTGTGAGCACCATGTTGGGATTATGTTTCAACAATCCGGCTTTCACCTCAGGGCTCCACATCACGCCACTGGAGACCATGCCAAGCAGTGAGGAGATATCGTATTCTCCTGGATGTTCATCAAGTTCGCGCAGCATGGGCTTTGCAAAGGCATCACCGACAATGGCAAGCGCGTTCACTTTGTGTCGCGCAACCGTCTCCCATAACTCCTTCGGGTCAAAGCCATGTCCTTCCAGGGTGACTACGGCGCCGCCACGCGCCAGGGTCGAAATACCCGTAAACAAACCGGTGCCATGCATCAAAGGGCAACAGGGAATCGTGGTACCGCCACTGACAGCCGCAGCCACATTTTGCAGGTGAACCTGCATATCCGCGGCAGGCTGCAGATCAGCCGCTATTGCCGCACCTCCTCCCACCGCGTGCCAGTGATCATCATGGGTCCACATGACACCTTTGGGCATACCCGTAGTGCCACCGGTATAGAGAAACAGCATATCGTCTCCGCTGCGCTCAAGCCCCAACGGCGCGCCATCACCCTGTTCTGCAAGCTTTTCATAACTGCTGGAAAATGAAGCTGTGGGCGCATCTTCACCACAGACTTCTACCCAGAGTGTGACTTCCGGCAGGCGCTCCCGAAGCGCTTCAACATGGCCTGCAAATTCGCGATCGTAAACCACAATCTTGGCATCCGAGTTATCCAGGATGTACCACAGCTCGTCATCAACATAACGGAAATTCACGTTCACATGGGTCAAGCGGGCCTTGAAGCAGGCGCCTAACGTTTCACTATAGGCGGGAGAATTGCGCATATAAAACGCAACCTTATCTCCCGTTTTGGCACCGTGCTGTAAAAATCCGGCGCCTAAATTATTCGTACGGCGAGTAAAATCTGCCCAGGTAATCACCCGATCACCATGAATCAGACAGGCTTTGTCCTGCGGCACCACTTCTGTGATGCGATCTAAAATATCCCCATAATTCCAAGCCATGTTCCCCTCCCAGGATTTAAGTTACTTAGTCGCTCCCATCAAACGGCATCATCTGATCACCAGAAGCGATGGTTGCACGAACATACCGTTTTATCTTACCGAGACGCTGTCGCCGTAGCCATGCCTTTGGTCCAGAGAACTGCGCACCCCTGACGTTTGCAGCTTAACCAGGCTAGACTCTGACCGCTGCAACACCCGGAATGCAAACAGTGAGCAAAAGTTCGAGAAAACGTTGTGTCGTTGTCATGTACGACACCCTGTGCCGACATTTCATGCCCAGCTACGGCAATGACTGGGTCAAAGCACCCAACTTTGCTCGACTGGCAAAGCGGTCAGTGCAGTTTGATAATTTCTACGTCGGATCCATGCCCTGCATGCCGGCCAGACGCGAAATGCACACCGGCCGCTACAATTTTCTGCACCGCTCCTGGGGGCCGCTGGAGCCCTTCGATGATTCAATGCCAGCCATTCTCGATGCCAACGGCGTGCATACGCACAAGGTGACAGACCACTATCACTACTGGGAAGACGGTGGCGCAACGTACCACCAGCGCTTCACAACATTCGATCTGGTGCGCGGCCAGGAGGGTGACAAATGGATCGGTGACGTCGGCAAACTGCGCGACCCGAACTACGGGGCAGAGCGATGGCCGGAACACCAGCGGGTCAGGCTGCAGAAACAGGATAATATCAATCGGGAACACATGACACGCGCAGCCGAGCAACCCCAATATAAAACTTTCAGCCTCGGGCTGGATTTCATCGAGCGCAATCTGGAAACGGATGACTGGTATGTGCAGATCGAAACCTTCGACCCCCATGAACCATTTTTCTCCCAGCAGGAGTTTCATGACCTCTACCCGCACGAATACGACGGTCCTGAATTTGATTGGCCACCCTATCGGGAAGTGAGGGAAGATGAGCAGACTATCCAACACATCCGCTACATGTATGCGTCCCTCGTCTCATTCTGCGACCAGCAGCTGGGCCGCGTATTAGATCTGTTTGACAAACACAATCTGTGGGAAGACACCCTGCTGATTGTTAATACCGATCATGGTTTTCTGATGGGGGAACACGACTGGTGGGCAAAAGTGGTCACGCCATTTTTCCAGGAAGTTGCGCACATACCATTCTGGATCTACGACCCACGACAACCGGAATGTGTTGGCCATAAGCGCAACGCGCTGGCGCAGACTATTGATTTACCGCCGACCATCCTGGATTACTTTGGTGTCGACATTCCAGCCGACGTGCAAGGCAGCACGCTGACAGAGCGTATGCTCTACGATGAGCCACATAGACAAGCCGTCCTATATGGTGTCATGGGGGGGCAGGTAAATGTCACAGATGGCCGATACGTCTATATGCGAGCCCATGCAACTGAAAACAACACCCCTTTATTTGATTACACACTGATGCCAACCCACATGCACAGCATGTTCTCTGTCCGTGAGATGCAGGACTGGGACAAACACGAGGGTTTTGTGTTCACCAAAGGCTGTCCCGTTATGCAGATTCCAACACGCACCCCGAAGGCTTTCCTGACTAATAAAACGCCTTACGGCAGCGGGCGGACGGCCACGTTACTGTTTGATGTGGTGAATGATCCTGCCCAGGAACAGCCGATTTTCGACATTGAAGTTGAAGCACGCATGATGACGCTGATGATCAGAGAAATGGCCCGCAATGACTGTCCTCCGGAACAGTATGAACGCCTTGGGATTCCCGCAGCGTCTAAATCTGCAAAGGGGCATCATGACGACAGCATAACCATGCCAACAGATGCAGCAATTCGCGCTGCGTGCGTGCTGCAAAGACAGTCAGCCCAGGCAGCAGCCAACCAGGGCATAAGGGCGTTGCCCATGATGCCATTTCGCAGCCTGATGGAGAATGAACCCCCTTTCCCGCACAATCTGCGCTTGAAACCGGGGTATCCTCACCGTTAACGTGCGTCTGTAAAGCAGGCGCCAGAACATTACGTCGCCAAAAGTCTTCACGCTCCTTTCTAGTCTCTGACGAGCCATCACCCCTTATACGCAGCGTTTGTTCAAGGGTGATTTAATCATCGGACAGCTGATGTTCAATTAGCCCATCTTATCTGGAATGAGCAGGTCTGAGATTGAACCTCACAATATCCCAGCATTAGATTTGTAGCCCTCCACCAGCGGTGGCAGAATCAGGACTCAAATCCAGACCCAGGCTGCACCCATGTATGATCTCCTGATTAAGAATGCGACTGTTGTTGACGGTACTAATCAAGCAGAATTCCGCGCAGATGTTGCGGTCAGCAGCGGCAAAATTGTGGCTGTCGATAAGGACTGCAAATTAGCGGGTGCGACCAGGACGGTAGACGCCAGCGGCTTACTCCTGACACCTGGGTTCGTAGATATTCACACCCACTACGACGGTCAGGTCTGCTGGGACAAGCAGGTCACACCCAGTTCATGGCATGGCGTGACCACTGTAGTGATGGGCAACTGTGGTGTGGGTTTTGCGCCGGTACACCCGGGCACTGAAGGAGAACTGGTCGCGCTGATGGAAAGCGTTGAAGACATTCCCGGCACTGCCCTGCACGAAGGCATACCCTGGGGTTGGGAGTCTTTTGGCGAATACCTGGACACCATCGATACACCCTACACTATGGATATCGGCACCCAGGTACCTCATGTGGCCATTCGACATTACGTGATGGGAGAACGCTGTTACGACGATGCTACAGCCAGTGACATGGCTGAAATGCGCGATATCACCCACCAGGCGCTCAAAGACGGCGCGCTGGGATTTTCTACCTCAAGGTTTTATGGACATATGGACAAACGTGGCCAGGTTGTGCCTGGAACCCACGCCTCTGCCGAAGAAATGTGCACCATCGGCGAGGCGTTTGCTGGACTCGACCATGGCACGATAGAGATCATTTCAGATTACCTGGAAGATGACGAAGAACTCTCCTGGATCGAACACATTGTGCGCAGTACCGGTCGCCCGATTACCACTCTGGCCAGTGCAAACAAAGGTAAACTCTGGCAGCTTGCCGAACGACTTGAGGCAGATGGTTTAACGCTACGCCCACAGATTGGCGCACGCCCGGCTTCGATTCTGATGACCCTTGAGGGCACCATCAACCCGATGCGGCAACACACCGCTTATCGCGAAATCCAACACTTAGGTTTAAGTGAACGACAGGACGCCTTGCAGGATCCCGGATTTCGCCAGCGTGTGCTCACAGAAGCGCCTATATTGCCACGCAACAAAGACGCGCAACGTTTCATGAATGACTACCAGCGTATTTTTGTGATGGACGAAGCGTTGAGTTACGAGCCCGGTGCAGCCGACTCCGTCGCCGGGATCGCTGCAGCTAAAAATCTCAACCCTCTCGAGGTGATCATGGACACCATGGCCGCAGGCATTCCACTGCTGGTGTTCTTCACGGGCTACAAAGACGACCTTGAACCACAGCGCAGAATCATCGAAGAAAAACTATCGGTGTTTGGCTTATCCGATGGCGGCGCGCATTGTGGCGTACTTGTTGACGCCAGTGTACCCACTTACATGCTGGCCTATTTCACTCGGGACCGACAGCGCGGCCCAAAGATGTCATTACCTTTTGTTGTGCACAAATTGACCCAGGATACAGCCAGTCTTTACGGGCTTCACGATCGCGGCGTCATTGCGCCCGGGTACAAAGCCGACCTCAATCTCATCGATTACAAAAAACTGAAATTACACGCACCGGAAATGGCATACGACTTACCGGCCGGCGGCAAACGGCTGGTTCAAAAAGCAGACGGTTACCATATGACCGTCTGCAATGGCGAGGTGACGTATGAACATGGTGAACACACGGGTGCCTTGCCAGGCAAATTACTGAGGGGTGGTTCAGCCACGCCTTAAGGGTGGCGAATTATCGCGCTCTGGCGTAAACGTCCGTGATAGCATTCTGAAGGGATAATTGGAGGGGAAGCCAATGAGAACTTTACGTGCCGCGATCTATCGCAGCTGCACTCTGGTGTGCCTGGCTGCAGCTGCACTGTTAGTACCCGCAACCAGCATCGCCGACTCCGTCCCACCACCTGACAACACCCTTTCTGAAGCTGAGCGAAATGCAGGCTGGCAATTACTGTTTGACGGCCAAAGCCTTGAGCAGTGGCGTACTTACGGTGAGCAGACGACTAGATCGGCATGGCAGATTCAAGACGGCGCAATTGTCCTCACCCAACGGGGCGGCGGCGACCTGATAACCCGTGAAGCCTTTGAAAACTTTGAACTTCAATTGCAGTGGAAGATTGCTGAAGGCGGCAACAGCGGTATATTTTTTAATGCAGACGAGAGCGAACTACCTATCTACGTGCACGCGGCAGAAATTCAGATCCTTGACGACGCCCGTCATCCGGATAATAAAAAGGCAAACAGACGCTCAGGCTCTCTCTACGACCTGATCGCAGCACCGCCGACCTCGCAAAAACCCGCTGGGGCCTGGAATCACGTTGTCATCTCACACCAGAACGGACACTTACAGACGTGGCAGAATGGTGTCCAGACTGTAGATATCGACCTGCACAGCAAAGCATTCATGCAACTGGTTGCGGACAGTAAATTTGCCGACTGGCCAGGATTTGCTGAAAATGCAAATGGCTATATCGGCTTACAGGACCACGGCGACGTGGTGTCATTCAAGAATCTGAAAATTCGCACATTGGACGGGGCACAGTGAGCTTCAGCCATCAGGGTTTTGCATACGATGCCGTGGTGGTCGGCTCTGGTGCTGGTGGCGGCATGGCAGCCTTTGTCCTCACTCAGGCCGGTCATCGGGTACTGATGCTGGAAGCGGGTCGCGACTACGACCCGAAAACTGAAACGCCGATGTTTAACACCGCGGCCCAGGCGCCATTACGTGGCACTGCTACGCCAGACAAACACTTTGGTTTCTACGATGCTACCGTAGATGGCGGTTGGGAAGTCCCCGGAGAACCCTATACCACCGCGCCGGGCAGTGAATTTCTCTGGTGGCGGGCGCGCATGTTAGGTGGCCGAACAAATCACTGGGGCCGTTTTTCGCTGCGATTCAGCGAACATGATTTCAAAGCTTACAGTCGTGATGGCCTGGGGGCAGATTGGCCCATCGAATATTCTGATCTCGCGCCCTGGTACGACAAAGCTGAAACGCTGATTGGCGTTTCAGGAGACAACCCCGGGCTCGATGATATGCCTGATTCGTCACCAGGGGTATTACAGCCACCGCCACCGCCCCGGGTGCCGGAGTTACTGCTGTCAGCCGCAGCCAGGAAACTTGGCATACCAACAGCGTATATGCATCGCGCTGTGCTGACGAAACCGCTGGATGATCGACAGGCTTGTTTTTACGCAACCCCATGCGGCCGTGGCTGCTCTATCGGTGCGGCTTTCCAGACCACAACCTCTTTATTACCGATGGCGATGGCAACCGGCCGTTTGAAAATTGTTACCAACGCGATGGTCAGCAAAGTAACAAGCGACCAGAACGGTAGAGCGCAGAGCGTCACCTATGTGGACCGAATAACGCAAAAAGCCATCAACGTCCCGACAAGGGTATTAATACTGGCAGCCAGTGCCTGCGAAAGCGCACGCATTCTGCTGAACTCCAGGGACGATAGACATCCTCACGGCCTGGCTAACAGCAGTGGTGAGCTGGGACGCAACCTTATGGATTCCACCGGCGCCAACTTTGCAGGTTACATTCCCAGCCTGGAAAACCGACCGCGATACAATGAAGACGGTAATACGTCCAACCACCTGTTCATTCCCTGGTGGGGACACAAAGCACAGGCCCGCGGCGAGCTCGATTTCGCACGAGGTTATCATTTCGAATTGGGTGGCGGTTTTGGTGCACCGGGGATGAGTATCGGCAGGTTGGCTGAAGGGTATGGAGCTGCTTTGAGAGCCGGCGTCCAGAAAGGTTATGGTTCAAGCATTGGTCTGGCGCTGAGAGGCGAAATGCTCCCTAATTCCAATTGTTATATGGAAGTTGACAAACAGGTGGTCGACAAATGGGGCATTCCCGTACCCAAGTTCCACTGGCGCTGGTCAGAACAGGAATTAAATCAGATCGCTCACGGCCAGAAAACAGCACATCAGATCATCAAAATCATGGGCGGTCAGGTTTATAACCCAGACCAAACTCCGGAAGATGCGCTGAAAAAAGGCGGCGAGATCATCCATGAAGTGGGCACCACGCGCATGGGTTCAAACCGCCGGGATTCAGTCACCAATCAATGGGGCCAGGCCTGGGATATGCCTAACCTGTTTGTCATGGACGGCGGCGTCTTTGCTTCAAATCCGCATAAAAACTGTACCCTGACCCTGATGACGCTTGCGATGCGCAACGCCGATCATCTGAGTGCAGCCATGCACACAGGTAAGGTATGAAGACCATGATCAGCCGCCGCGAGTCACTGCGACGGATGATGCTATTGGCCGCTGGCTGGGGTATGCCTTTCAGCTTCGCGGCGGCCAGCGACCTCAGCGCTGCGGACTGGGTAAGCGTTGATCCAAAGCCTGTGAGTGCACCGGGCTATGGTACGGACCCAAACTTACTGCATCCGGCACCGGCGCCCTGGCCTAAAACCCTCACAGATGAGCAGCTGACGCTGATCTCCACCCTGGCGGATATCCTGATACCCGCAGACGGCACTTCGCCGAGTGCGTCCAGCGCAGGTGTGGTCGAGGTTCTGGATGAATGGGTGAGCGCCCCTTATCCAAGCCAACAGGCACACCGGGCCCAGATTCTCTCTGGCCTGCAGTGGTGCAACGCCCAGGCACAACATCTGTTTGGTGAACCGTTTACGGCACTTAAGCCTGACCAGCAGCTGAATATCATTGATGAGATCGCATACCCCATCGCCGATGACCCAGAGGATGAGCAGTCACCGGTTCAATTCTTCAGTCTGTTGCGCACCCTGGTTGCCGGTATGTATTACACCAGTCCAGCGGGCGTGCTGGAACTGGATTATCAGGGCAATGTGCCGATCAGCGGAGATTACCCGGGGCCAAGCCGTGATGCCCTGCAACACTTGAACACCATCAAAGCCGAGTTAGGGTTAGAGTAATTGTAGCGCCCTGCCAATCAGGATCCACACGAGGAAATCCGTTTTGTCAAAAACTGAAACCAAATTTGACGCTATTGTCGTCGGCTCAGGCATATCCGGTGGGTGGGCGGCTAAAGAGCTGACCGAGCGCGGGTTGAATGTCCTGTTGTTGGAGCGCGGCAAAGACGTTGAACATGTCAAAGACTACATCAACGCCCGCAAAGGTCCCTGGGAATACCCGCACCGTGGACAACGCACCTACGCCATGGAAGAAGCTTACCCTGTCTTACGTCGCGACTATCCGTTAAACGAGCGCAACCTGGACTGGTGGGCGTCCGACCAGGACTCACCCTATACCGAGGTGAAACGGTTCGACTGGTATCGCGGCTATCAGGTTGGAGGCCGGTCACTCACCTGGGGGCGGCAGAGTTATCGACTGGGAGACCTCGACTTTGAAGCCAACGCGCGCGAAGGTATCGCGGTAGATTGGCCTGTCCGCTACGACGAGTTGAAACCCTGGTACGACCACGTTGAACGTTTTGCCGGTATTTCCGGTTCGAAAGAGCGGCTGCCACAACTGCCGGATGGCGAGTTTCAGCCTGCAATGCCTTTAAACTGTGGTGAACAACAGGCCGCAGAGCGTCTGCAAAGTGCCTTTGATGGGCAACGTCATATCATTCCCGGTCGGGTGGCCAACCTTACCCAACCCCTTCCAGGTCGATCACCGTGCCAGTACCGGGCCGCCTGCTATCTGGGCTGCCCATACGGTGCCTATTTCAGCAGCCAATCATCTACGCTGCCCGCTGCGATGGCGACAGGCAGACTGATTCTGCGGCCGTTTGCCATCGTTACCGAACTGAACTACGACAAAGATACACAGCGGGTTGTTGGCGTGCGCGTGCAGGACGCGGTCACTAACAATACAACTGAGTACCAGTCGAAAATTGTTTTCCTGTGTGCCTCCACCCTCAATTCAACCTGGCTGTTAATGCGCTCAGCAACAGACGTGTGGCCTGGCGGCTTAGGCAGCAGTTCGGGTGAGTTAGGCCACAACCTGATGGACCACCATTTTCGCCTGGGTGCGCGCGGACGCCTGGAAGGCCTGGACGACAAATACTATTTTGGGTCACGCCCAACCGGCTTCTACATCCCACGCTACAGAAACATCAACGGCGACAAACGTGACTATTTGCGTGGCTTTGGATACCAGGGTTCCGCCTCGCGGGGCGACTGGTCGCGAGCGGTCAGAGAATTGGGCATTGGCGCCAAATTCAAAGACGCCCTCACGCAGCCCGGGCAGTGGAGCATCGGTGCCACCGCGTTTGGCGAGATGTTACCCGACCATAATAATAAAATTTCGATAGACGAAACACGCACAGATAAATGGGGGCAACCGGTCCTCGCTATCGATTGCGAAATTGGAGAAAACGAAAAACTCATGCGCATAGACATGATGAATGACATGGCGGAAACCCTGCAGGCGGCAGGCGCTGTAGATGTTCAAACCTATGACGCAGGTTATGCCCCCGGCCAGGGTATCCACGAGATGGGTACAGCGCGTATGGGGCGGGATCCCACCACGTCTGTGTTAAACCGCTGGAACCAGGTCTGGGACGCCCCTAACGTGTTTGTTACGGATGGCTCGTGTATGACCTCCGCCGCCAATCAGAATCCTTCGCTTACCTATATGGCGCTTACTGCACGTGCAGCAGACTATGCAGTGGCAGAACTGAAACGTCAGAATCTGTAGAAGACTCACTATGACAACAACCGAACACAACAGCGACGACCAGCAGGCTCACCCAACGCGGCGCGACGTAATTAAAAACGCGCTTTTACTCAGCGGGTATACATCACTGCTCGGTACAGGCGCACTGGCAGCTGGATGCTCAACCACCATGAACCGCTCCCAGGCGGTCACCTCAACAGCCTTCAGCGCTGAACAGATCCAGTGGCTGGACGAGGTGGCTGAAACCATTCTTCCGGAGACCGACACACCAGGCGCCAAGGCCGCGGAAGTCGGGGCGTTTATCGCCATCATGGTGACCGATACCTATTCACCCGAGGAGCAGGCGCTGTTTCACGCCGGGACCAGAGAACTCGAATCACAGTGTTATGCAGCGTATGGAACAGGCTTCATGGACGCTACAGCATCAGAACGTCAAACGTTGTTAGAGCAACTGGATCAGGAGCAAATCACCTATACGCTCAACAAACCAGCGGACGCTGCGCCACATTATTTTCACACCATCAAACAGTTAACTGCGTTTGGCTACTTCACTTCCGAAATCGGCTACAACCAGGCGCTTCGATATGTGGAAAGCCCGGGGCGTTTTGACCCCTGCGTTGAGTACACCCCTGGTGAACGCGCCTGGGCAAGACACGCCTGAACTATTGGGCCGCAGGCGTTTCCAGATTGAGCAGCTCGATATTGCGAAACTGAATAGGATGCCCTTCGCTTTGCAGCGAAATGTAACCGGCATCCAGCACTTTACCTTCCGGTTTCATTTCTGCCCGGTGTCCTGATACCACGCCACCACCGGTTGTTATGCCACCGTAACTCATGACTTCTACACCGTTCACAAAATGGCTGATCTGTTTGTCACCCAAAACCAGCACTTCAATCTGCACCCATTGGTCATCATGGATCGTTGGTGCTGTCGAAAGGATACAGTGGGTATCGGTGAACTCACCCTGATAGACGATATGAGTGCCCGGCGAACACATATTAGCTGTTGGTCGCTGGGCCCCATCATTCAATCCGCCCAGAAACTGCACCTCGATGGAAATCGGGAAATCCTGGGGTGCCGGCATGGTCTGCGGATCCTGACTGTGCACCATGACCCCACTGTTCTTGAATGCCCAGGCCGGCGCTCCAGGCGCCTGTTCGCCAATGAAGCGATATTCAAGACGCAGACGATATCGACTGTAGGGGGTGACGTAAAACAAGTGACCAAACTGATTATCAAAATCTCTGTAATTGGCGTAGGAAACGGTCAGCAGGCCATCTTCTACGGTGAACGTCTGCGCAGGATCTTCACCAAATTCATAACCGCGAATCTTCGGCTGCCAGTCAGTGAGGTCTGTACCGTTAAACAGAGACTGCCACTTGTCCTGCGCCGCAACAGGCATGCAGATCAATAGCACAACAATGAGCATGGACCGATTGAACATCATGATCTCCGCTTAATACCTGAGCTTCTGCAGCGTTTCGATACTGTATTGAACGGAAGCCAGGGAATCCTGCGGGCGATCATGCTCAACAAAGTAGTGCTGCAGACCGCTGCCCGCGGCAAACAGCGCTGAGAAATCTATCTCACCTTGACCTACTGAAACCATTTCACCTGTCGCCGTGCGGTCTTTGACATGACACAGAGGGAACCTTTCCGGAGCGACCTGCAGGTAGCTCCGCGCATCAATCCCCGCATGGGTCGCCCAATACAGATCCAACTCAAATTGAACCAGTTCAGCATCACACCCGCGCAGCATGAGGTCATAAGCCAACTCGCCACCCAGCATTGCAAACTCAAAATCATGGTTATGGTAACAGAGCTGCATACCCGCATCGCGACATTGCTCACCGAAGGTATTCAACACCTGGATCACCTGACTGTAACCCTCGGGTGTTCGCTGCTCCGGTGCAATCCAGGGCAGAACAATAAACTGATAACCCACGGTTTCTGCAACCTCGAGAATCGCTTCTGGAGATTCAACCATCAGGTTGAAAGGTACGTGGGCTGCCGGTGCTGACAAGCCGGTGTTTCCGAGCGCTACTGCAAACTGTGCCGGACTCAAATTACCGGTGCCGGCAGTTTCAACCTCCACGTAACCGGCTTGCGCAACCGCAGCTAACGTTGCCGCAACATCTTTGGCCATAAGATCGCGAACGGTGTAAAGCTGCAAACCTATTCGTTGCAGACGACGTTTCTCCAGCGCGCGCAGCGAAGGCGCAAGGAGCGCGCCGGCCGTAAGTCCCAGACTTTTCAGATGTGTACGTCGAGTCAGTCTCATGTGGATTCTCCCGCAGAGTGAACATTTGGGGTCGCTTGCGTGGTCGTGTCCTCACGAAAAACCATCGCAAAAATGATGGCTATCACACCGGCAAATGCACAGGGCACCAGCCAGATCGTCTGCCAGTCATGGCCACCGGACACAACATAACTTTCAACCACCTGCCCCGCGATATAGGTACCAATAGCCATGCCCGCACCGTAGGTGAGCAGGGTGATAAAACCCTGTGCGCTGGCACGTATTTCCTCGGACGCACGTTGATCAATGTAGATCTGCCCGGTAACAAAAAAGAAGTCGTAACAGACACCGTGTAATAAGATACCCAGGTACAAAAAGCCAACCAGGTCGATGGATCCGAAGGCAAACACACCGTACCGCAACACCCAGGCTAACATGCCGACCAACAACATCCACTTCACCCCAAGACGTCGGAAGAAAAACGGCATAGCCAGCAGAAACAGCGCTTCGGACACCTGCCCCAGGGTCATCTTGGCAGCCACCCCCTGCATCCCGACTTCATTGAGAAACAGATTGGCGAAGCTGTAATAAAAGGCCAGAGGGATACAGATCAGCAGAGAACTTGCCGCAAAAACAGCAAAAGAGCGTTCTTTCAGAAGAGACAGCGCTTCCAGCCCCAGCACCCGACCCATGGTCACATGTCTGCCACGGCTCGCCGGCGGTGTGTTAGGCAACGTGAAACAGTACAGGCCCAGGATAGCGGAACAGGCAGCGGCCATACTCATCGGCAAAGAGGTCGCTTCCACGTTTCCGCCACCACTGGCCAGCACATAGGTAATCGACAGACCGGCAACAATCCAGCCGATTGTGCCCCAGACCCTGACCTTCGGGAACTGCAGATCAGGCGATTGCATCTGCGCAAAACCAATACTGTTAGCTAACGCCAGGGTAGACATATAGCAGGCGTTGTAGACGAGCAACCAGAGAATAATGTCCCCTGCCTGGGTCAACGTGGTGACATGGTAAAGTACCGCTGCGCCTAGCAGATGCAGGACCCCAATGACCTTTTCCGAATCAAAAAAACGGTCCGCCACCATGCCTACAAATATCGGCGCGATGATGGCGCCGATATTGTTCGTCAGATAAGCGGTACCAATGTCCGAGCCGGAAAAGCCAAGCGCGTTGAGATAGGTGCCCAGAGTCACAAACCACGCCCCCCAGACAAAAAACTGCAGAAACATCAGAAGACTCAGACGGCTGTAGATAGAGGGTGTCATGGTGGGCAAGACTCTGCGGCGGCGACAGCTTCGAGAATACACCATGACTGAGATAGCGGCTAACCAGCTTTCTGATTGGGTGTATGGTGATAGCTTGCTATACTCACCTGCCGTTTTCAGTCGTGACAACTCAAGGTAGAACAGTGAGCTCAGCCAACACCCCCTCATCTACGCCGACACCTGAAGAGCTCGGCTTTGATCCAGATGCGTTACGTGAAAAATATCGCATAGAACGCGACAAACGCCTGCGGCCAGATGGCAACAATCAATACACCGACGTTGTTGGCGACTTTACCCACTACGTGGACGACCCCTACGTTGATACACCCATCGAGCGCGAACCGCTGACCGACGAGATGGACGTCATCATCATCGGCGGTGGCTTTGGCGGCCTGATTACCGGTGCACGCCTGCGAGAGGCAGGCATTAAAAACATCCGCATCATCGAAAAAGGCGGCGATTTTGGCGGCACCTGGTACTGGAATCGTTACCCTGGCGCCGCTTGTGACGTCGAGTCGTATATCTATCTACCGCTGTGTGAAGAACTCAATTTTGTACCCAAAGAAAAGTACACCCACGCCCCGGAAATATTGCAGCACAGCCACAATATCGGCAAAAAATACCGCCTCTATGATGACGCCTGTTTCCAGACCGAAGTCACTGCCCTGAACTGGGATGAGTCCAGCGCCCGCTGGATCGTACATACCAACCGTGGTGATGCCATGCAGGCCCGCTTTGTCGCCATGTCTAACGGTCCACTTAACCGACCTAAGCTGCCAGGCATAGCCGGTATCAGCGAATACCAGGGGCACACATTTCACACCAGCCGCTGGGACTACAATTACACGGGTGGCGGTCCAGAAGGTAACCTCGACAAACTGGCAGACAAACGCGTAGGCATCATCGGCACCGGCGCCACCGCGGTGCAATGTGTCCCGCACTTAGGTGCAGCGGCCAGAGAATTGTTCGTTTTCCAGCGTACGCCCTCGTCTATCGACGTACGCGACAATCGACCTACAGACCCTGAATGGGCAGCAAGCCTGAAGCCGGGCTGGCAGCAGGAACGTATGGAAAACTTCAACACCCTGACTTCAGGCGGCATTGTTGAAGAAGACCTGATTCAGGATGGATGGACCGAGATTATCCGCAACCTGATATCCATGGCCAACTACCGCGGCAAAGACATTCCCCGCGATGAGATCCCCAAACTCATGGAGTTGGCAGATTTCAAGAAGATGGAGCAGGTGCGCGCCCGCGCTGAAGCCATCGTGCAGGATCCGGACACTGCTGAAGCGCTTAAACCTTTTTACCGTCAGTTCTGCAAACGGCCTTGTTTCCACGACGAATACTTACCCACTTTCAATCGGGAGAACGTTCACCTCATTGACACCGACGGCAAAGGGGTTGAACGCCTCACCGCAACCGGAGTGATCGCCAATGGGAAGGAATACAAGGTTGATTGCGTGATCTTCGCCACTGGCTTTGAAGTCGGCACCGACTATACGCGTCGCGCGGGATACGACGTGACGGGCAGAGATGGCCTGACCCTCAGTGAAAAATGGCGTGACGGCATGCGCACCTTACATGGCCTGCACAGCCGCGGATTTCCAAATCTGTTTATCATCAGTAATGGTCAGGGTGCATTTACCACAAACTTCCCCCACGCCATGAACGAGTCCGCTAAACACATCAGCTATATTGTCGATCAATGTCTGACCGGAAACATCAGTTGCATCGAACCCAGCCAGGCGGCTGAAGATGCCTGGGTTGAGGAAATCATATCGCTGGCAAGATTCAGTGAATCGTTCCAGGCGTCCTGCACACCCGGCTACTACAACAACGAAGGCAAGCCCAATCCAAAAAGTGCGCAGAATGCCAGTTACGGCAAAGGCCCGAACCCCTTTTTCGCCAAGATGAAAGCCTGGCGGGAGGACGGCTCCATGCCCGGACTGGAGCTGAGTTGAACGTTGTGGACCACCGTTGTCGTTTGAACGCCGCATTCACGCGATACTCACTACAGCGGTGCTATATTGCTCAGTCTATGATCAAGAATTTTTCATGATGCGGCACAGATACATCACGACAACAATAGGGCTGGCTGTCGCCTTCATGCCCATCTGGGGCATGGCCGCAGCGCCCGGCGGCCCGCCACCCCCAACCGCCGTCATTGTCGAGAACGTGGCCACCCAAACCATCGCAGACACGCTCGAAGCACTGGGTACATTGCGGGCCAACGAAACCGTCGAAATTACTGCAAAAGTGGCAGACACCATCTCTGCCATTCGCTTTTCTGACGGTGAAGCAGTCTCCGCCGGCGATGTACTGGTTGAACAGACTGATGCAGAAGAGGCTGCATTGCTGGAGGAAGCCGAATCCCTGGCAGAAGAAGCCAAACGCCAGTTCGAGCGCATCGAAAGCCTGGTTGCAAAAGGTAGCGCTTCAGAATCGCTGCTGGATGAGCGTCGGCAAACCTGGCGCACGGCAAGCGCGCGAGAAAGTGCAGTTCGCTCGCGCCTGAAAGATCGCCTGATCACCGCCCCATTCAGTGGGCATGTGGGTTTGCGCCTCGTCAGTCCTGGCGCCCTGGTTTCACCCGGCGATGTGATCACTACGCTGGTCGATGACTCCAGCATGAAACTCGACTTCACCATTCCGGCAATTTATATGGACACTGTGCGTGTCGGCACGGTCATTGATGCCACCACACCTGTTTACCCTCAGCGACGGTTCAACGGCAAAGTCAGCTCCGTCGACAGCACCGTTGATCCGGTGACACGCTCAATCACCATCAGAGCCGTGCTGCCTAATGAGGACCATGCTCTGGTACCCGGCATGTTGATGACACTTGAACTGCGTCGCAATCCGCGCAGTGCCATTGTTATATCCGAGGAGACCATCATCCCTCGTGCTGGCGAAACTCACGTGCTGGTTGTTGACGAGACCGTCAGTCCGCCGGTTGCCCAGCAGCGCAGCGTGGTCTTAGGACGTCGATTGGCGGGCAAAGTGGAAGTGCGTAGCGGTCTGCAGGTAGGTGAAACCATTATTTCTCATGGCACTCTGAAGGTCAGACCCGGTTCGCCTGTACGTATTCAGGCCGTGGACGACAACACCCGCTCCATTGCTGACATGATTCGCGGCGAGCCTGCTAACAGCGGATGATCATTTCCGATATCTCCGTTCGCCGGCCGGTTTTTGCTGCCGTCATTTCGCTGATCCTTATTGCTTTTGGCCTGATCGCCTTCGATCGCCTGCCCCTTCGCGAGTATCCGGACATTGATCCACCTATTGTCGGTATCGAGACGGTTTATCGCGGCGCTGCTGCATCGGTTGTAGAAAGCCGAATCACTGAGCAGATTGAAGAACGCATTGCCGGCGTTGAAGGCATTGAGTTTATCGAGTCCTCCAGCCAGGACGGCCGCAGCAACATTACCGTCCAGTTCAGCGTCGGGCGCAATGTCGATGACGCAGCCAACGACATTCGAGACCGCGTATCCAGCGCCCTGGGTAGCCTGCCCGTAGAGGCAGAACCACCTGAAGTGCGCAAAGTAGACTCTAACCAATCGGTAATCATGTGGATCAACCTCGTCAGTGATCGCCTCACCGTACCCGAACTCACAGATTTTGCTGAACGTAACCTGGTCGACAGATTTTCCGTTCTGGACGGCGTGGCCCGCGTGTTTGTCGGTGGCGCACAGCGCTACGCAATGCGTATCTGGCTTGATCGTCAACAGCTTGCCGCGCGCAATCTGACCGTTGCCGACGTCGAGAATGCACTGCGCGCAAGTAATGTGGAACTCCCAGCAGGAGAAGTTGAATCCGAAGAACGCCGTTTCACCGTGCGAGTGGAACGCGCCTTTGAAGATGCTGACGACTTCAGACAGCTGGTACTGGGTGAGAGCAGCGATGGCTATCTGGTTCGCCTTGGTGATGTCGCCCGGGTTGAACGAGGCACGGAACAGGATCGTACGCTGTTCCGCGGTAACGGCATTCCCCAGGTTGGGCTTGGCGTCGTGCGTCAGTCCAACGCGAATCTGCTGGATGTTGCTCGCGCCGCCAAACGCGAGATGGCGTTGTTAGGACCAGGCCTGCCGGAAGGCATGGCATTCAAGCAAAGCTATGACTCGTCTATTTTTGTTGAAGGCGCCGTTAACGAAGTCTACAAAACCCTCGGAATTGCCGTATTCCTTGTGGTGCTAACCATCTACCTGTTCCTGGGCAGCGTTCGCGCCATGCTGGTACCTGCGCTGACCGTGCCTGTATCCATCATCGCCACCTGTATCGCCTTATACACGCTGGATTTTTCCATCAACCTGCTGACGCTGCTGGCCCTGGTGCTGGCGATCGGCCTGGTGGTCGATGACGCCATTGTCATGCTGGAAAATATTCACCGCAGAATAGATCAGTTAGGCGAACCGCCGATAGTGGCGGCTTATCGTGGTGCCCGCCAGGTTGGCTTTGCGATTGTTGCGACAACGGCTGTACTGCTTGCCGTATTTGTCCCCATCGCTTTTCTCGAAGGTGACATCGGCCGGCTGTTTTCAGAATTTGCGCTGACGATGGCTGCCGCAGTGGTTTTCTCATCGCTGGTCGCACTGACCCTGGCGCCGGCGCTGGCCTCCAAAGTGCTGCGATCCAGCGAAAGCGAAAACTGGCTGACGCGACGTATCGACCACAACTTCACCGTCGTCAACCGCATCTATCGACGCGCGCTAGGCTATGTCTTAAAACACCCCGTGCTGCCGATGGTTGTTCTCGCCGGGTTAATCGCCAGTAGCGTGTGGTTGGTGAAAGTGCTGCCGGAAGAATATACCCCCGACGAAGACCGAGGCAGTTTCTTCACGTTTGTACGCGGCCCAGAAGGCGCTACATTCGAGTATATGAAACCCTACGTTGATGAGATAGAACGTCGCCTCATGCCTTATGTCGAAACCGGTGAAGTGCGCCGTGTGCTGGTGCGCACACCTGGTGGATTTGGTGCTATTCCAACCTTCAACACCGGCGCTGTCATCATTGTCCTCAGTGACTTCGGCCAACGTCGTCCAGGCAAAGTGATCATGGACGAGGTTCGCGCCAAACTGATGGACTTACCGGGCGTCTTTGCCTTCCCTGTCATGCGCCAGGGATTCCGTTCCAGCGCAGATAAACCACTACAGTTTGTCATAGGTGGCGGCGAGTACGAACAGCTGCGGGCATGGCGGGACGTGCTGATTGAAGAAATCAACGCCAACAACCCGGGGCTGGTGGGTCTGGACTGGGACTACAAAGAAACCCAACCTCAGCTGCGTGTGCGCATCGATTACAACCGCTCAGCAGACCTCGGCGTGCCCATTGTAGATATCGGCAGAACCCTGGAAACACTGCTTGGGTCGCGCAGGGTCACCACATATATGCAAAATGGCGAAGAGTACGAAGTCATTCTTGAAGGCGAGCGCGACACGCAACAGACCCCCGCGGCGATGGAAAATATCTACGTTCGCTCGACAACCACCAATCAGCTCATACCTCTGGCTAACCTTGTCACGATTGAAGAATATGCGGATTCGAACAGACTCAACCGATACAACCGGGTACGCGCGATTACCTTGGAGGCGAACCTTGCGCCTGGGCTTGCGTTAAACGAAGCCGTCGAATATCTGACCACTCTGGTGAGAGAGAAGCTACCCGAAGGGGTGGTGATCGACTACAAAGGCCAGACGCGTGACCTGCAGGAATCGGAGTCGTCCATCGTATTTGTCATGCTGTTGGGTCTTGCTGTGGTTTTCCTTGCACTGGCGGCCCAGTTTGAAAGTTTCAGACACCCTCTGACCATCATGCTCACGGTGCCGATTGCCATTACCGGTGGCCTTCTGGGACTATGGTTAACCGGCATGACCATCAACATCTACAGCCAGATTGGCCTGGTTATGCTGATTGGTCTGGCTGCAAAAAATGGCATTCTGATTGTTGAGTTCGCCAATCAGTTGCGCGATGAAGGGGTCGAGTTTATCGAAGCCCTGATCAGCGCATGTGAAGTGCGCCTGCGCCCCATCGTGATGACCACAATTACAACCGCAGCGGGCACCCTGCCCCTGATATTCGGCAGCGGACCAGGCGCCGAAACCCGTGAAGTCATTGGTATTGTTGTATTCAGCGGCGTAACCGTCGCAACGTTATTCACGCTGTTTATTGTGCCGGTCATGTACAAACTCATTTCAGGTGAAAGCGCATCCCCACTGGCAACCAGCCGCGAACTGGATACTGCACTGGAGGAAAACCCGGACACCGATCAGTTGCTCGACACAAATCGAGTTTAGAAACAGTTTTTCATGAAGATGTTTCTTTGCGGGCATCGGTTATTCTACAGTCCGCTTGAGTAGCGCCTTCCAAACCATCGAGAGACCGGCATGCGAATCTTCCATAGACAAAAAATGACAATCTTCATCCTATTGTCGCTGATCACAGTATCTACCCATGCTGCAGACTTCCGCAGCGCCGATTGGGGTATGACCATGACTGAGGTCAAAAACCTGCATCAGGGTGAAATCCCTGCGAACCAGCGCAAGGCTATGGTCAATTACGAAGGCAAACTCGCAGGATTGGACGTACTCATTTTTTATCGTTTTGATGAATTAGGCGGGTTGTATCAGGCAGGTTATGAAGCAAACGCAGCACACAGCGACACCAACATATACGTGGCTGAATATAACCATCTGAACAAACTGTTAAGAAAACGCTACCCCGAGTCCGGGGAACCGCTGCAGATCTGGAGCAATAGATTATTCGAAAACAAGCCGGACAACTGGGGGCGAGCAGTCGCATCAGGGCACCTGACGTACCAATGGTCCTATGAAACGGGAAAAAATCGTATTACCCACGAACTGCGCAATGATAAACGCCGGCGTATCATCCACATTCTGCGCTACGAAGCCATTGCTGACACCGCCGAAACTGACATCCTCGACGAACTGTAACCGCTCAGTCGCTCAAGCCCGGCCCGTCTAATGCACCCAGGGTCTTAGCACGTCGATCCCGGTGTCGCTCCGCCAGCATACGCATATCGGTTGTTGTATCCGTCTCATCGACAATTTCAAACCCCAACAATGTTTCAATGACATCTTCCAGGGTCACAATGCCCGCCATGCCACCAAAATCATCCAACACTACGGCAATGTGCTCCTGGCGTTCGCGCAGCGTACTGAATAGATCCGTAATGGCATAGGTCTCGCCAACAGCAATGATCTCGCGCCGCAGCGAAGCCAGCGGTTCATCCCCTTGGCCATCTATCAAGGCAGTCAATACGTCCGCCTTGAGGATATAGCCGGTGATGTGATCTTTGGAGATGTTGTAAATCGGGATGCGAGAAAAACGCTGACGTTTGCCCAACGTATGAAAACTGGCAATGGCATCGCTTTCAGCTGCCGCTGCAACCACCGTGCGCGGGGTCATCACATCACGTACCTGCACGGTTTGAAAACGGATCATGTTGCCAATCATCTGACTTTCTTCTTCTTCGAAGACACCTTCCTGTGCGCCAATTTCAGCCATGGCCAGGAAGTCTGTGCGCGTTAATACCGGCTGATTGTTACCGTGTTTGAGTAACCGGGTGAGGTACTGGCTCATCCATACCAGCGGTGCCAGCGCAACGATCAGGAACCTCAGGCTATGCACAGTGAACGTCACCAGACGTTGCCAATAAAGTGCGCCGATCGTTTTTGGCACAATCTCTGACAACACCAGAATCGCAATCGTCATCAATGCCGGCACACCGAACAGCGTTATCCAGGGATTTGCATCGGCCCATATGGCTGCAGCCTGCTGGCCAACGCCTATCGCACCTACTGTGTGAGCAATCGTATTGAGGGTCAGAATGGCTGACAGCGGGCGGTCAATATTGGCTTTAAAATCTTCCAGATAACGCCCGACCAGGGTGCCTTCCTGAAACTGCATACGCGCATACGTCGGCGTGGTGGAGAGCAGCACTGCCTCCCACATAGAGCAGAGAAACGAAAAAATGAGTGCCAGCAGGAAAAAAGTGACTAGCAGTGTATACATATCGTTGCGCGGGGTGTCCGATGGCGTTGTTGTGTTTGCACAAAGACAGCATACCTCAGTTGGAGGAACAACCAAGCCTCTGCCTGTCTGACTGAACCCTTCGGTTTTATCGAATCATCACTGTTCAAGCGGGGGTTATCTAAGGTTCTCCCGGTAGGGGGTCATATCCATCCCAAAAGGACGGTAACGGGCTTCTACCGCGGCGATTGTTGCTTCACTCCAATAGCTGGACCCGGGTTGGGGGAAACCCAGCACCGCCCGCTGTGCAAGGCTGGCATTGGCAATCAGGCGCTCCAGATATTTACTCTTACGATATGCAGACCACGCCCAGCCCACATGAAGGGTGCTTATCCATTCACATTCCGCCCGCCGATAGGTAATGTTGTGCACCAGTCGCAGCGTGTCCGGCAACATGGGTGTTCCCCGGTGCCAGGTATCGTGCCGATAGAAAAGTACGTCGCCTGCTTTGAAGCGGGTATATTTTTCGCGCGCATAAAGCGATGCCCGCCATTGAGCCAATCCTGGACGCTGCTGAGAAAAATACGCCTCAGCGGCTGTACGATCGTTCACATAATCCAGCTCGCCTATGCCCGGCGAATCCACAATGGGCCAACGATAAGCAGGGTCTGCATCGCCCTGGCGCGGCACCACAGCGGTTGCCCCGCCGCAGGTCTCCACGTCATTGAGATACACAATCATCTCTACCGCTTCCGGGCGTCTCCACTCGGTTGGATGGGCCAGGGTATGGTTTGGATAATCGATATGAATGCGCTGATCCATGTTGTCCAGTGGCCCCGCTGACTTTTCAGTTCTGCCATATTTCGGCCAGAGATCAGATTGACTGAGTCGCAGTGATTCTACCGGCGCCTGCAACAACGCTGACACGCAGGTCAGCAAGCGCGGAGCAAGCGTGATTTCATTGAACCCAGGAAGGGTGCTGGGGAAACACAGCTCGCTGCCAAAGTCAGAGACGCCCTGGGCCGCTGCACTGCCTGGGGCAGGGAACCGTTCGGTTGCGGCCTCGCGCAGGGTCTCGATCAACGAATCAGGAAACACGCCTCTTACAAGTGCAAAACCCTGATGCTGCCAGGCGCTAACCTGTGCAGCGGATAGCACCTCATGTTCATTGTCTGCAGGTGCGCTCTCAGCTGGGGTAGCCTCGACCCACCGATCTGAATTGTCTGCACCTCTCACCATGCTACTCCCTCCCAATGTTTACCGAGATGATGACCGGTTACGGTTCTATAAACTTGCTCAAAACTTGCATACCCTGGCCATTGAGGCAGACTAAACTCATGCCCCCACTGCCCCCTTGAGGTGATCTTATGAAACTCTACACCGGTGACCTGAGTCCTTACTCGGCGAAAGTGCGTATGCAGATCTACGCAATGGGTATCAGCGACATTGAATTCGAGCTGCCGGCGTCATTCTACCTTGGCAAACTGGCAGAAATATCCCCCCTCGGCCGCATTCCGGTGCTCGAAGTAGACAATGGCATTATTCCTGAATCTGAGGTGATCGCTGAATATCTGGACGATCTCTATCCGCAAAAATCGATGACTGGCGATACCCCGCGCCAGCGCGCCAACGTCCGATTGCTATCGCGTATTGCCGATATTTATCTGATGAACAACATTTTTATGGCGCTACCACAGATTCCAAGAGGCAACCGTGTCGACGCGATTCGTGACCTCTTCGCTGCACAGATAACACGCGGCATGGGCGCGTTGGAGCGACACCTGGCCGACGATGAGTTTGCCGCTGGGCCTGAGCTCACCAGAGCCGACTGCAGCCTGGTACCGGCGTTGTGGTTGTGCGAGAACACCGTACCGAGACTCGATGTGCCTAACCCAATTGCCAGTACTGAACGGGTGGCCAGCTACTGGGCAAAAATTCGCACCAACGAACACGCCTCAAGGGTTCTGGCGGAAATGGATCGGGGTATGCAGGCGCGCCTCGACGGTACCGAACGCAAGATGATTGAAGAAGCGCGAGCTAAACTTTAGTCTCAAGCCATGACCGTTTAACGAAACAGCCCTTTCAACAGCCTGGGTGACCGCACAAAACCAATGGCAGCAGCAACTCGCAAAGCCTGGCCTAACGGATACGGTAACGTGTGCAATCCACCATGAACACGCACCTGACCGACAGAGGGGGCATCCGGATTCATCCAGTCATGTACCGCAAGCAACCCATTCAGGCAACGGGACTGGCGTGGCGTCATGGTTTCCACACCTAAGGCAGCTGCGCCACCAAACGCCGCGGCAAACACCGGATGATCAAGCGATCGTGTACGGGTAATCGCCGCTGTATTAGCTGAAACACGCAGTGGCTGTGGATCTGCAGCGGACAGTTGACCGAAGGTAGACCAGCTCTGTGCCATTAGAACTTTGCCGAGATACTGAGCTGCCTGGTAGCTGGCACCTTGTATGGTTACCACGGTACGGGTGGCGGCGGCCTCTCCGACCACCACGCTGCCACCGCCGGATCCCAGCAGACCTGCCCGTGCGAGCAGTGCTTCCCATGTAGGCCGAGACGCAACACGTGCTTTTGTTGCTGCGAGATCCTGCACACTTAACGCCGTGGGCGTTGTTGGAGACACAAGCATAGTCACACTGGCAACCCGTTCTGCTGGCAACGCATCAACCAGGGCGTTCATGCAGGCGGTCAGACGTATTTCGCGCGCTTTGCCCGGCGCGTATGCGTACAACCCCAGATCAAGCGGGCTGCCATCCGCGAATTCAAGCAAGGTGGCCAGCACTGCCTGGGGTTCGGTCAGCAGGTCGACGTTGTCTGTTGCCCAGAATACGCTTCCGGACAATGCCGGCTGCGTCTGCCACTCTTGCGGCGGAGGTTTTGTGTCCAACCAAAGTACGTCTGCGCCGGCCTCAAGCCATAAACGGGTTGGCGCCATTTCCGCGCCACCGCCGAGAACGGCAATTTTGCGCCCGGACAAATCCAGTTTGCCGTCAACCAGTGCTTCTTCTGCCAACCAGGTCAGAGCAGACGCGGCAGCCGCTGAAATCACATTCCGACTGACCAGTAATTTACCCAGTTGAGCCAACTGCGCACCCTGCCAACGCTCGCCCTGATACACAAAGTTCGGCTGCCAGCCAGGTTCTCCGCTGAAGACGAGCTTGCTCAGCGGCAGCGGCGCCACAGGTTGACCCAGGACATCATGCAACGGACAGGCGGCTTCACCGTCATCCCAGATAATGTAATCCCGCAGTTTGCGTACCATGTGCACTGCAATCGCCGAAGCTTGGGAACTGGCTAACCGTTGCGCTTCGAACCTGGGTAACACGTCCGCATAGCTTTTACGGAATACCTCTAGAGCTGACGGCACACCTGCTGCATCTAACACGCCAGGAAAGGCAGTGACCGCATCACAAACCACTTCGTGCAGGATGGTTAGCGCACTGAGATTCTGTGCAAGCAGAATTTCACCCGACTTATTGATATCAGCCATGGACATTTACCGCAGGTTGTGGGATTCGGCGTGCTTCGACTTTCCGTTTACCACCCAGCAATAGGTAGAATGTAGGCAATACAAACAAGGTGAACAACGTGCCCACCACCATACCTGCAGCAATCATTAAGCCAATAGAAAATCGGGAGTTTGCACCTGCGCCAAACGCCAGCAACAGCGGCACAACGCCAAGCACGGTGGCAAAGGTTGTCATGAGAATCGGTCGCAGCCGCAGAGCAGCAGCTTCCAGCACAGCGGATCGACGGTCCAGACCGTCGGCTAATTTGTTGTTGGCAAAGTCCACAATCAATATGCCGTGTTTACTGATCAGGCCTATAAGCGTTAATAAACCCACCTGAGTATAGATATTCAACGTTGCCCACCCCAGCGCCAGAGGCACAATCGCGCCGAAAATAGACAGCGGCACGCTGATCAGAACAATGAAGGGGTCGCGAAAACTATTGAACTGAGCTGACAGAACCAGATAAATAAACACCAGAGATGTGGCAAACAGCAGTAAAAAGCCCTGACTCTCTTCGATGAAACGTCTCGATTCACCCTGATAGCCTACCCGATAACCTGTTGGCGCCACTTCCTTCAGCGCCTCTTCAAGAAATGTTAAACCTGTTCCGAGCGTATTCGGCGGCAGCACCAGCCCCTGCAGGGTGACGCTGTTCAACTGCTGGTACTGCCTGAGCGTACTCGGTTCAACGTTCTGCTGTAGTGAAATCACCGTACTCAATGGTACCAGCGAGCCTTTTTCTGTGCGCAGGTAATAACGTTCCAACCATTCTTTGCTGAGTCGAAAACCGCGATCCGCCTGAGGAATGACTTTATAACTGCGACCTTCCATACTGAAGCGGTTAGTTTCCGCTTCGCCCAGCATGATCTGCAGCGTTTCGCCTATTTTCGCCATGGATATTCCCAGCCTGGCAGCCAGTTCGCGATCAATGCGCACGCTGATTTCGGGTCGGGAATAGCGCAGGTCTTTACTCACGAAAGCGAACAGACCCGACTGTCTCGCTTTGCCTAACACTTCTTCTGCCACGCGATCCAGCTCGCGATAATCCACGTTAGCGGATATGACAAACTGCAGCGGCAAGCCAGACGAAGCGCCGGGCAGACCACCTGCAGCAAAGGTAAATATTTCCAGACCGCTGATACCGTTGTACTTCCGCTGTACCTCAACGCGGATTTCTTCCAGCGTGCGTTGACGTTCATCCCAGGGCTTCAACTCAATGCCGCCAAACACAGAGTTTGGTTGATTCACCTGCCAAGAATGACTGACTTCCGGCACCGAACGCCACGCCTCAACCATCTGATCCAGAAACAGCGTGGTGTACTCAAGGCTACCGTAGTCTGGAGGTGTTGCTATGGCAAAAATACTGCCGCTGTCTTCATCCGGCGCCAGTTCTTTCTGGGCCAACTGATAAAATATCGGCAGGCTGACAAAAATACCCACAGCAAAGAGCATCACCGCACCGCGATTATCCAGACAGTGGCCAAGCGCGTTGGCATAGCGCCCATGCAATCTGTTGAACTGCTTGTCCAGCCACAGTGCAGCCTTACCCTGATGTTGATGATCTTTGAGTAAGTAGGCACACATCATCGGCGTTAATATCAGGGCAATGATGCCGGATATCATGACCGCACCTGCGAGGGTCAGCGCAAACTCGCTGAACAACACACCGGTCAAACCACCGAGAAAACCAATCGGCAGATACACGGCCACCAGGGTCAGGGTCATTGCAACTACAGGTAACGCCACCTGCCTGGCACCCAGCAGCGCTGCATCCATGGGCGTCTTACCCTCTTCGATGTGTCGATGCACGTTTTCAACCACCACAATGGCGTCATCCACCACCAACCCAATGGCGATGACCATGGCTAACAGCGTCAGCAGGTTGATTGAGAAACCCATCAGCCAGATCAGGAACAGCACGCTCACTAATGAAAGCGGTATGGCCACAATGGGAATGGCCACAACACGCAATGAACCCAGGAATAACAGAATAACCAACACGACAATGATGGTGGCTTCTATGAGAGTCTGCTGCACTTCGTTGAGCGCTTCACCGATGTAGATGGACAGATCTGAATCGAGAAAAATAGTCATGTCCGCAGGCAACTGCGCATCCAGCGTTTTTATCTGTGCCTTGACCCGTTCAGCCATCTGCAAAGGGTTCGCGCCAGGCGCTTCAGTGATGGCAATAAAAACCGTTTCCTGGCCGCTCGAATAAACCTGCGACTCATAGGTCTCGCTGGCCAGCTCAATATTGGCAACATCACCCAGGCGCACCCGTTGCTCACCCTCCTGACGCACTACAATCGCCGCAAAGTGGGATGGATCCTGGACGTCTGTCTGCGCATCCACGCTGGCGCGCACATATTCACCGCGGGTTGTACCCGCTGCAGAAATAAAATTGTCTCTGCGTATGGCGTCGTTGACATCTGTTGCGGTAACGCCGTAAGCGGCCATTCTGGCTGGATTCAACCAGACACGCATGGCAAACATACCGCTACCCAGCAGGCGAGCCTCACCCACGCCCTCAACGGTACTGAGAACGGGTTGAATGGTTCGCGCAGCGTAATCGGCCATTTGCTGCACCGACATCTGTTTACTGAGCAAAGCCAGATACATCATGGCATCACCGCCAGTGCGGTTGCTCACAACCGGGTCTTCGACCTCACGAGGCAGCTCAAAGCGGGCTTCGTTAACCTTTGTGAT